ACATAATGTTGATGTATCACATAAGACATTAACGACTCGTGGTCGTTGTTTATCGTACACTAAAACACTGCAGGGAGAATAAACCACTCGGGGCTGCGCCAATCATGGTTTATTCTCCCTGCAGTGTTATAAAATGAACTTCTTGATTATATTTTTTTATAATGTGAAACACTATGAACACTCATTTCCTCCAAATCGGTTATCACGAAACATCTGACCAACTGTCCAGGTTGAAAGTCCAGGTCGTATCACGAAGGCTCCCTTCTGTTGACTAACTGCGCTTGTCACGCCCAACACAAGTTGAGTGATGCGTATTTAAGGGCACGTCAACTGATATAGATGGCGATGTCATGATGGAGAAACTGCAGGCAACCCAGTAGATGTCAGATAAATAGGCGCAGATTACAAGGGGAACCTGTCGGGTCTAATATTATGACTGTATCCTATGTCCCTGAGATTTATATTCACACATACTTCACACAGCATTGGCACTTTTATCTAAGAAAAGTTCAAATTATTTTAAGGAATTATTTCATTTTTTAAAATGTATTTCTGAATAACTAAGGGGCACGGGTGGCCCAGTCGTCTAAGGCGCCGCGATTCGCTGTGCACAGTTGCGTCCCTTGGGCACGCCAAAAACCTATGATTGTGGGTTCGAATCCCGGTTCGCCCCGATTATGTTTCTAGGTTTGTCAGCACCATACCCGTGCTCGTGGGTTTCATCGAAGTGGTAAACGTCTGAGACCTGCATCACTTGGGGCTTTCCTTCCACATTAAGTTGACACGCCGTGATATAACTGGAATAATGTTAAAAGCGGCGTTAAACCCAACTCACTATCAACTAATGATGACCTCAGGCTTCAATGAGGCCTTGAGTGTCTTCATCCTGATCAAACAACATTTGAGCAAGAGTCGTATGTCTTTCTTTGAAAACTGCTCAGGAAGAACATGGCCGATTGTACCTCAAAAGTTGTAAAATGTGGACACCCAAAGCTTGACCTGCTGGAAAACTGCGTCACAAAAAGGGAAAATGAACTTTGGAAAACTGAAGCGATGCCTCTTGTCATACAGTGTCGTGGAGAGTTTGTTGTCACTCTGTATCTTTATGCACAGATCTAAATATGAAACACATAAGGAGGCTGTGATATATATGCTGAAGAGTGGCTTGAGCGCTGTTTTAACACGTTTTTGTAAGATAGTATTGAGTTTACATTACACCCAAAACACATTGAAGCTTTTCCTTAAAATCAATATTATTATTATGTCAATATACATGATAGTCTTTGGTTACCAATTTAGCCCCAGACTCTCTGTGATCCTACAGAAACCTATGATTGTGGGTTCGAATCCCGGTCCGCCCCGATTATGTTTCTAGGTTTGTCAGCACCATACCCGTGCTCGTGGGTTTCACTGACGTGGTTAACGTCTGAGACCTGCATCACTTCGGGCTTTCCTCCCACATTAAGCTGACACGCCGCAATATAACTGGAATACTGTTAAAAGCGGCGTTAAACCCAACTCACTCACTCACTCACTCACTCACTGTAAGCGGGTTCTCAATCCCCGACGGCGTGGATCGTTTCCACAACATCACTGGATTGTCTGGTTCAAACTCTATTATATACAGGTCGCCGTCATATACCTTGAATATTGCAGAGTGAGACGCTAAGCAACAAACAAAGAAAAACATCAACATTATAATTGGAGACATTGACATTTAGATTGGAAGAGACAAGAATAATTATTCCTTTGGGAAAGGTCTAATTCATTTTTGAGACAATCATTTAGAGTACCTCTGGTGAAAGAACTCCCGTGGACGTCACGCTGGTCCCATGACGCCATCGAGCTTTTAGATCTTTGATAAATGGTCATTTGATCTTACTGATGAATTTTATCTTGTGATAGATAGCGGACAAAAAGTAAAGACGGTTAATTCGTGATGGAAAAGGAATTGCTTTCTCGTCCTATGATCAGCGATTATTTGCTTCCCAAGACTAGGGAAGTACCTTAGGTACCACAGTTCTTTTCTTCAGATGTTTAAAAAGACATCTTAGATGTGAGATAATCTTATAAGATGGTACTTTCGACCACGTCTGCATGTAAAGAAATACGAAATACATACAAAATCACAATATATACTTTTTAAAAACGTTACAGCTGAGTTCTTCTTCTTTAGGTCGACAAGACCCAAGGACAAATAAAGGTCAGAACGTCCTCACCCCACTGAACATTGCATGACCCAAATACAATAGTGGACGTATTTCATAAGTACTCTCATTTGTTAAATAATAGGTAGGTACGGATAATGGTAGTGTTAAATGATTTTATTAATAGAATATCAACATGAATGCACATTCGAATATATGTTTACGTAATCAAATAAATATTATGATAATATAAGTATGGCGAGTTCTAATGACATTTCAATTAAGACATTGAGTCATTTCAATCTAAACAATAATTGCCTGAATTAAATCTAATCACAAGTAAATCTATTCCATGCTTGGAGGGTAGCGTTGTGGTGAAAGCGTTTACTCGTCACGCCGCCCTGGGTCCGATTCCCGAATGGGTACAATGTGTGAAACCAATTTCTGTTGTCCCCCGTCATGATATCCCTGGAATATTGTTAAAAGCGGCGTAAAACCATAATCACTCATGAGGATGACTACGGGTGCGACGCAGGTGAGATTGCCTGCCTTACCGGTGACAGTTGAAGTTTCAGTCAATCGCCAGTTGGTCCTGAATAAATGCTACTGCCATTAACTCCAGCACACCTTTCTTTCTCATGTATTCAGTCGTCCATGATCATTGTTGATTCACAACACCACCTGCAAGGTCCATGTAATGTTCCGTGTAGAGATATTAACCAACACTGAAGCGTGATTTGTGTGGCCATGGGAACCTTTTACTATTGACAATTGAGTGTTGCAACTGGTCGATACGAGTATTATCGGTTTCAATAGTGCATGGGTCCTTGCTCAAATCTTGAATAGTTGTGTATGAATATATACTTCAATAATACTTTCTTGGCTATAAAATAATATTAACACCAAACTGAAATGTATGTTTTGTTCATTTGCACTTTCATTACATGTGTGTGGAGGTTCCCCGACCTAGTTAAATGTCTGTATGTTCCAGCGGCATACAACCCAACGGACTTGTATCTAAATGCGGTGACATATTTGTCAAATTCAATCATGTCCTTGACATGGCATTCCCTTGTAAATCAAACCCCAATCGGTCAGACGAATGTGCGGTTATATGAGACGTCTCGTCTATCGTCCCCCTATCTGCAGATGGCGAGCGTACATCCTCGCGGACATAATGAATTAGTCTAGCTTGGAGCTGATGCCCCGGAAGAGCCCTGCTTGGAAACCGCATTTGGTTTTCTATTGCTGTTATGGTGCGTCTGGTGTGATAGCCCTCCAGTGGTCTTCTCTTGCTGTGATGGCTGCGTCTGGTGTGATAGCCCTCTAGTGGTCTTCTCTTGCTGTGATGGCTGCGTCTGGTGTGACAGCCCTCTAGTGGTTTTCTCTTGCTGTGATGGTTGAGTCTGGTGTGATAGCCCTCTAGTGGTCTTCTCTTGCTGTGATGGCTGCGTCTGGTGTGACAGCCCTCTAGTGGTTTTCTCTTGCTGTGATGGTTGAGTCTGGTGTGACAGCCCTCTAGTGGTTTTCTCTTGCTGTGATGGTTGAGTCTGGTGTGATAGCCCTCTAGTGGTCTTCTCTTGCTGTGATGGCTGCGTCTGGTGTGACAGCCCTCTAGTGGTCTTCTCTTGCTGTGATGGTTGAGTCTGGTGTGACAGCCCTCTAGTGGTCTTCTCTTGCCGTGATGGTTGAGTCTGGTGTGACAGCCCTCTAGTGGTCTTCTCTTGCTGTGATGGTTGAGTCTGGTGTGACAGCCCCCTAGTGGTCTTCTCTTGCTGTGATAGTTGCGTCTGGTGTGATAGCACTCTAGTGGTCTTCTCTTGCTGTGATGGTTGAGTCTGGTGTGACAGCACTCTAGTGGTCTTCTCTTGCTGTGATGGTGCGTCTGGTGTGATAGCCCTCTAGTGGTCTTCTCTTGCTGTGATGGTGCGTCTGGTGTGATAGCCCTCTAGTGGTCTTCTCTTGCTGTGATGGGGCGTCTGGTGTGACAACCCTCTAGTGGTCTTCTCTTGCTGTGATGGTTGAGTCTGGTGTGACAGCCCTCTAGTGGTCTTCTCTTGCCGTGATGGTTGAGTCTGGTGTGACAGCCCTCTAGTGGTCTTCTCTTGCTGTGATGGTTGAGTCTGGTGTGACAACCCTCTAGTGGTCTTCTCTTGCTGTGATGGTTGAGTCTAGTGTGATAGCCCTCTGGTGGTCTTCTCTTGCTGTGATGGTGCGTCTGGTGTGACAGCCCTCTAGTGGTCTTCTCTTGCTGTGATGGGGCGTCTGGTGTGACAGCCCTCTAGTGGTCTTCTCTTGCTGTGATGGTTGAGTCTGGTGTGATAGCCCTCTAGTGGTCTTCTCTTGCTGTGATGGCTGCGTCTGATGTGACACCCCTCTAGTGGTCTTCTCTTGCTGTGATGGGGCGTCTGGTGTGACAGCCCTCTAGTGGTCTTCTCTTGCTGTGATGGTTGAGTCTGGTGTGATAGCCCTCTAGTGGTCTTCTCTTGCTGTGATGGCTGCGTCTGGTGTGACAGCCCTCTAGTGGTCTTCTCTTGCTGTGATGGTTGAGTCTGGTGTGACAGCCCTCTAGTGGTCTTCTCTTGCTGTGATGGCTGCGTCTGGTGTGATAGCCCTCTAGTGGTCTTCTCTTGCCGTGATGGTGCGTCTGGTGTGACAACCCTCTGGTGGTCTTCTCTTGCCGTGATGGTGCGTCTGGTGTGACAGCCGCCTATAGGTCTTCTCTTGCTGTGATGGTTGAGTCTGGTGTGACAACCCTCTAGTGGTCTTCTCTTGCTGTGATGGTTGAGTCTAGTGTGATAGCCCTCTGGTGGTCTTCTCTTGCTGTGATGGTGCGTCTGGTGTGACAGCCCTCTAGTGGTCTTCTCTTGCTGTGATGGGGCGTCTGGTGTGACAGCCCTCTAGTGGTCTTCTCTTGCTGTGATGGTTGAGTCTGGTGTGATAGCCCTCTAGTGGTCTTCTCTTGCTGTGATGGCTGCGTCTGATGTGACAACCCTCTAGTGGTCTTCTCTTGCTGTGATGGTTGAGTCTGGTGTGATAGCCCTCTAGTGGTCTTCTCTTGCTGTGATAGTTGCGTCTGGTGTGATAGCCCTCTAGTGGTCTTCTCTTGCTGTGATGGTTGAGTCTGGTGTGATAGCCCTCTAGTGGTCTTCTCTTGCTGTGATGGTTGAGTCTGGTGTGATAGCCCTCTAGTGGTCTTCTCTTGCTGTGATGGTTGAGTCTGGTGTGATAGCCCTCTAGTGGTCTTCTCTTGCTGTGATAGTTGCGTCTGGTGTGATAGCCCTCTAGTGGTCTTCTCTTGCTGTGATGGTTGAGTCTGGTGTGATAGCCCTCTAGTGGTCTTCTCTTGCTTTGATGGTTGAGTCTGGTGTGATAGCCCTCTAGTGGTCTTCTCTTGCTGTGATGGCTGCGTCTGATATGACAGCCCTCTAGTGGTCTTCTCTTGCTGTGATAGTTGCGTCTGGTGTGACAGCCCTCTAGTGGTCTTCTCTTGCTGTTATGGTGCGTCTGGTGTGATAGCCCTCTAGTGGTCTTCTCTTGCTGTTATGGTTGAGTCTGGTGTGACAGCCCTCTAGTGGTCTTCTCTTGCTGTGATGGTTGAGTCTGGTGTGACAGCCCCCTAGTGGTCTTCTCTTGCTGTGATGGTTGAGTCTGGTGTGACAGCCCCCTAGTGGTCTTCTCTTGCTGTGATGGTTGAGTCTGGTGTGACAGCCCTCTAGTGTTTACTCTTGCTGTGATGGTTGAGTCTGGTGTGACAGCCCCCTAGTGGTCTTCTCTTGCTGTGATGGTGCGTCTGGTGTGACAGCCCTCTAGTGGTCTTCTCTTGCTGTGATGGTTGAGTCTGGTGTCACAGCCCTCTAGTGGTCTTCTATTGCCGTGATGGTGCGTCTTGTGTGACAGCCCTCTAGTGGTCTTCTCTTGCTGTGATGGCTGCGTCTGATGTGACAGCCCTCTAGTGGTCTTCTCTTGCCGTGATGGTGCGTCTGGTGTGACAGCCCTCTAGTGGTCTTCTATTGATGTGATGGCTGCGTCTGGTGTGATAGCCCTCTTATGGTCTTCTATTGCTGTGATGGTGCGTCTGGCGTGATAGCCCTCTAGTGGTCTTCTCTTGCTGTGATGGTTCAGTCTGGTGTGATAGCCCTCTAGTGGTCTTCTCTTGCTGTGATAGTTGAGTCTGGTGTGACAGCCCTCTAGTGGTTTTCTCTTGCTGTGATGGTTGAGTCTGGTGTGATAGCCCTCTCGTGGTCTTCTCTTGCTGTTATGGTGCGTCTGGTGTGATAACCCTCTGGTGGTCTTCTCTTGCTGTGATAGTTGCGTCTGGTGTGATAGCCCTCTAGTGTTTTTCTCTTGCTGTGATAGTTGCGTCTGGTGTGATAGCCCTCTAGTGGTCTTCTCTTGCTGTTATGGTGCGTCTGGTGTGACAGCCCCCTAGTGGTCTTCTCTTGCTGTGATGGTTGAGTCTGGTGTGACAGCCCTCTAGTGGTCTTCTCTTGCTGTGATAGTTGCGTCTGGTGTGACAGCCCTCTAGTGTTTTCTCTTGCTGTGATGGTTGAGTCTGGTGTGATAGCCCTCTAGTGGTCTTCTCTTGCTGTTATGGTGCGTCTGGTGTGATAACCCTCTAGTGGTCTTCTCTTGCTGTGATAGTTGCGTCTGGTGTGATAGCCCTGTAGTGTTTTTCTCTTGCTGTGATAGTTGCGTCTGGTGTGATAGCCCTCTAGTGTTTTCTCTTGCTGTGATGGTTGAGTCTGGTGTGATAGCCCTCTAGTGGTCTTCTCTTGCTGTGATGGTTGAGTCTGGTGTGATAGCCCTCTAGTGGTCTTCTCTTGCTGTGATGGTTGAGTCTGGTGTGATAACCCTCTAGTGGTCTTCTCTTGCTGTGATGGTTGAGTCTGGTGTGACAACCCTCTAGTGGTCTTCTCTTGCTGTGATGGTGTGTCTGGTGTGACAGCCCTCTGGTGGTCTTCTCTTGCTGTGATGGTTGAGTCTGGTGTGATAACCCTCTGGTGGTCTTCTCTTGCTGTGATACTTGCGTCTGGTGTGACAGCCCTCTAGTGTTTTTCTCTTGCTGTGATAGTTGCGTCTGGTGTGATAGCCCTCTAGTGGTCTTCTCTTGCTGTTATGGTGCGTCTGGTGTGACAGCCCCCTAGTGGTCTTCTCTTGCTGTGATGGTTGAGTCTGGTGTGACAGCCCTCTAGTGGTCTTCTCTTGCTGTGATAGTTGCGTCTGGTGTGACAGCCCTCTAGTGTTTTCTCTTGCTGTGATGGTTGAGTCTGGTGTGATAGCCCTCTAGTGGTCTTCTCTTGCTGTGATGGTTGAGTCTGGTGTGATAGCCCTCTAGTGGTCTTCTCTTGCTGTGATGGTTGAGTCTGGTGTGATAACCCTCTAGTGGTCTTCTCTTGCTGTGATGGTTGAGTCTGGTGTGACAACCCTCTAGTGGTCTTCTCTTGCTGTGATGGTGTGTCTGGTGTGACAGCCCTCTGGTGGTCTTCTCTTGCTGTGATGGTTGAGTCTGGTGTGATAACCCTCTGGTGGTCTTCTCTTGCTGTGATAGTTGCGTCTGGTGTGACAGCCCTCTAGTGGTCTTCTCTTGCTGTGATGGTTGCGTCTGGTGTGACATGCTAATACATGGTAATACAGTCCAGATTTACAGATAAGAAAATAGACTGATATGGATTAACATGTATATGACAGGACCTAGTGATCAAATCATCTTATATTTCACTCCATCTCTACAACTGTATATATTTGTCATCTACATCGTACAGGTCTGAACATCTATAATAAAGAGGGCCGATAAACCTCCGGGTATTCTTGTTTTGACACACTGCATCCGTGGTGTAGCAGACAGAGCGTCTGCCCGGAGACCAGTAGGTCAGTGGTTCGATCCCCTGGTCGCGTCATACCCAAAGAAGACACAATATGGTCCATGTTGTTACCCCGCCTTGAGCTCGGCTAAAACAAGGACTTGTCGGCTCGGAGTCAGTGTACTGTGTCTGAGTGGGCTATTCTTGTTAAAACTGCGGCAAGGTGTCTCAGTGGGACGTATCAAGTCAGATAACGATGAGACTCGGGGATTACATGGACACTCGGAAACACATATATCTTCAGTCTTCACCGCAGAGCGAAGTGTGGGTCTGGAGGTTTTGGGTTTTTAGTTAGAAATAGTAATTTAAAGGAATATGATGTATCTGTGTTAGATTGAGTATGTGGTTGAAATTGATGCATAAGCAGAATTACACTTGTTTCTGTGCATGAGTGCGTCATTTACCACCAGAATATTCCTCTGGAGACATTGACTGCTGTTGATTTTTACACCACTCTTTTATCACAGGTAGCAAAATATTATTTATGATATTAGGTATATATGTGGTGATTTTAACAGCAGAATGGGTGATCTATAACTTGTTACCTGAACGACACATTGTTGATGAGTCAAGAAATAATTATGGACATCTTCTATCAGATTTTCTGATAAACACGAACTTTGTGTTGTTAATGGTCGTGCATGTAGGAAGAATGATTATACCTGTTTATCCGGAAAGGTTGTCTCTGTGGTCGATTATTGCCTTTGTTCTTACGAACAATTAGATCAATATATGATTTTAATGTGACACGTGCATCTCATCGTCTACAGAGTTCGGGCTGTGTTGCAAGTGTGGACCCAAAGGCCCTATCAGCGGTGGATCATTCCTTCCTGTCATGTTCCCCATGAGTTCCCTAAGGATGAAGCCGAGGAGGAAAAGTTCATGATGACGCTATTTGTGAAGTATGACATCACATTAGTACCAGAAACTTGCTTGACCTCAAGTGATTGTAAACAGGCTCCTTTAACGACACCTGAAAAACGTGAATCATCCAAAAGCCGTCAAACAGACATAGAAGGTGCATATAATACATTTGTGTCAACGGTGATAAAGGAAATAGACATTTCTTTACCTACGAGAACTGTACATATATCATCTGGGAGGGGAAAGAGGAAGACTAGACGAAAACCATGGTGGACTGATGTTCTAACTGATATGTGGAATGAAGTGTGTGCGTCAGAACGTGAGTGGTCATGGAGTTATGAAACGTAGGTTAAGAGAGCTATACAAGCTAAAGAGAAAGAGATTCGATTCGGAACTGAAACGAGCTAAAAGTCGACACAACAATGACAGGATATCAGAATTAGAGAACTTGTGTGACGGAAATAAGAACGAATTCCGGAAGCAGATCGGGAAAGTTGGCCTGGGACGGAAGAGACTACAGAATATCCCTAAAGAGGTGAGGTTACCTGACGGGACACTGACTACAAATCAAGACTTGCTAAACTGTAACCACGCTGAAGATACTGTCGTAGAGTGTAACAACGACAACGAACATATTTCGAACTCTGTAAATCTTAACCAACTTATTTCTTTGGAAGAAATGAATCACTTAGATGTGCCAGTAGGGGAAAGTCGACCGGATATGATTGCATACCCAGTGATGTCCTGAAAAACTAAACTTGTTTCTATGTAGACTTTTCAACATGGGTTTCATGTATGGACATATACTATAGCATGGAAGACAGAGTATCATCAATCCTTTTCCAAAATCATCGTCAGCAGACAGATATGATCTCCTATCAAATAGAGGTTTTTCCCTTACCAACACATCTTACAAGTGTATTGCAATGTTCTGAATTCAAGACTGTACAAACAGGCTGAGAGTTAAAACCTATTGTGTGATGAACAGAACGGTTTCAGGAAAGGAAGATCCACCGTAGAACATGTATCAGAGCGCTCATCGAAACCAGGAAGTCACTGAAGAAGTCAACTGTGCTGGCCTTCATAGATTTCAAAAAGGCGTACGATTGTATAGACATGTCTGTGTTATAGAAGAGACTATCTGATCTGGGTATAACAGGAAAGACGTATAACGCTATTGTCTCATTATACGAGAGTGTTAAATGCAGAGTAAGATTAAATGGACATTTCACCGAGTGGGTTACGGTACATGTGGATTAAAACAGGGGTGCCTTCTTTCCCCACTCCTATTTATTACCCACTGCTGGACTTTACCCACAACTGGTGAAGTGAACATGATGGCAGTGAACAAGGATAAATCAAAGGTGATGCATTGTAGAAACATGTCAACTGCTAAAACGGACTGTGTTTTCAGATGTGGGGAAACGACTTTAGATGTAGTGGATAGTTATTGGTATCTAGGACTTCGAATAACAGAACATCTAGATTATACCAGGATGGCGAAGGCAGCGACAAACTCGGCCAGCAGGGCACTGGCGGCATGAGGTATTACACCTACACCAAGCTGTATGACTCTCGTGTGTACAACTATCGAATATGGATTAGCGATACGGGGGAGCAGCAACGTAGCACTGGTAAGCACAGTATAAAATTGAGCCATGAAGTTTTTTTAAGAGTGTGAAGAAACACGCTCCAAATGCATCTGTACAATGGGATTAGGAGTGGACACCACCGGAAGTGAGATTGTGGGGAAGCGTGATGCGTGTCTGTACAAGATGTAACAGTCTGAACAGACAGAGGCTGGCATATAAACTGTTCCAGTGGTCCTGACGAAAGGCTCTGAATAAAAGAAAAACTGGATCAAACGAGTTGAAATTGAAATTACTAAACTTGTTAGAACTGTTTGATATAAATAATGGATTCAAAGCCAAGAATGTGGTTGCGACTGTTAAAAACCTTATAATCAGCACTTTCATTGGTGATTAGAAGCAGAAGCTTGGATGTTCAGACGAGGCAAGGGAGGTAATAAACTTCGACAGTATCGAACCTTCAAGTCTGACTTCGGAGCTGAATCATACTTGAGATATTACATACCAAGGAGCCAAAGCGAGCTCTCTCCTTGTTCAGATGTGGAGCAGCACGGTACTGCAACAAACCGGTTGAAGACATGTGACACACCAAGGAGCCAAAGCGAGCTCTCTCCTTGTTCAGATGTGGAGCAGCACGGTACTGCAACAAACCGGTTGAAGACATGTGACACACCAAGGAGCCAAAGCGAGCTCTCTCCTTGTTCAGATGTGGAGCAGCACGGTACTGCAACAAACCGGTTGAAGACATGTGACACACCAAGGAGCCAAGGCGAGCTCTCTCCCTGTTCAGATGTGGAGCAGCATGGTACTGTAACAAACCGGTTGAAGACATGTGACACACAAAGGAGCCAAGGCGAGCTCTCTCCTTGTTCAGATGTGGAGCAGCATGGTACTGCAACAAACCGGTTGAAGACATGTGACACACCAAGGAGCCAAAGCGAGCTCTCTCCTTGTTCAGATGTGGAGCAGCACGGTACTGCAACAAACCGGTTGAAGACATGTGACACACCAAGGAGCCAAGGCGAGCTCTCTCCCTGTTCAGATGTGGAGCAGCATGGTACTGTAACAAACCGGTTGAAGACATGTGACACACAAAGGAGCCAAGGCGAGCTCTCTCCTTGTTCAGATGTGGAGCAGCATGGTACTGCAACAAACCGGTTGAAGACATGTGACACACCAAGGAGCCAAAGCGAGCTCTCTCCTTGTTCAGATGTGGAGCAGCACGGTACTGCAACAAACCGGTTGAAGACATGTGACACACCAAGGAGCCAAGGCGAGCTCTCTCCCTGTTCAGATGTGGAGCAGCATGGTACTGCAACAAACCGGATGAAGACATGTGACACACCAAGGAGCCAAGGCGAGCTCTCTCCTTGTTCAGATGTGGAGCACCACGATACTGCAACAAACCGGTTGAAGACATGTGACACACCAAGGAGCCAAGGCGAGCTCTCTCCCTGTTCAGATGTGGAGCAGCATGGTACTGCAACAAACCGGTTGAAGACATGTGACACACCAAGGAGCCAAGGCGAGCTCTCTCCTTGTTCAGATGTGGAGCAGCATGGTACTGTAACAAACCGGTTGAAGACATGTGACACACCAAGGAGCCAAGGCGAGCTCTCTCCTTGTTCAGATGTGGAGCAGCATGGTACTGCAACAAACCGGTTGAAGACATGTGACACACCAAGGAGCCAAGGCGAGCTCTCTCCTTGTTCAGATGTGGAGCAGCATGGTACTGCAACAAACCGGTTGAAGACATGTGACATACCAAGGAGCCAAGGCGAGCTCTCTCCTTGTTCAGATGTGGAGCACCACGATACTGCAACAAACCGGTTGAAGACATGTGACACACCAAGGAGCCAAAGCGAGCTCTCTCCTTGTTCAGATGTGGAGCACCACGATACTGCAACAAACCGGTTGAAGACATGTGACACACCAAGGAGCCAAGGCGAGCTCTCTCCTTGTTCAGATGTGGAGCAGCATGGTACTGCAACAAACCGGTTGAAGACATGTGACACACCAAGGAGCCAAGGCGAGCTCTCTCCTTGTTCAGATGTGGAGCAGCACGGTACTGCAACAAACCGGTTGAAGACATGTGACACACCCAGGAGCCAAGGCGAGCTCTCTCCCTGTTCAGATGTGGAGCAGCATGGTACTGCAACAAACCGATTGAAGACATGTGATATACCAAGGAGCCAAGACGAACTCTCTCCCTGTTCAGATGTGGAGCAGCACGGTACTGCAACAAACCGGTTGAAGACATGCGACATACCAAGGTGCCAAGGCGAGCTCTCTCCCTGTTCAGATGTGGAACAGCACGGTACTGCAACAAACCGGTTGAAGACATGTGACACACCAAGGAGCCAAGGCGAGCTCTCTCCCTGTTCAGATGTGGAGCAGCATGGTACTGTAACAAACCGGTTGAAGACATGTGACACACCCAGGAGCCAAGGCGAGCTCTCTCCCTGTTCAGATGTGGAGCAGCATGGTACTGCAACAAACCGGTTGAAGACATGTGACACACCAAGGAGCCAAGGCGAGCTCTCTCCCTGTTCAGATGTGGAGCAGCATGGTATTGCAACAAACCGGTTGAAGACATGTGACACACCAAGGAGCCAAGGCGAGCTCTCTCCTTGTTCAGATGTGGAGCAGCATGGTACTGTAACAAACCGGTTGAAGACATGTGACACACCCAGGAGCCAAGGCGAGCTCTCTCCCTGTTCAGATGTGGAGCAGCATGGTACTGTAACAAACCGGTTGAAGACATGTGACACACCAAGGAGCCAAGGCGAGCTCTCTCCCTGTTCAGATGTGGAGCAGCATGGTATTGTAACAAACCGGTTGAAGACATGTGACACACCAAGGAGCCAAGGCGAGCTCTCTCCCTGTTCAGATGTGGAGCAGCATGGTACTGTAACAAACCGGTTGAAGACATGTGACACACCAAGGAGCCAAGGCGAGCTCTCTCCCTGTTCAGATGTGGAGCAGCATGGTACTGCAACAAACCGGTTGAAGACATGTGACACACCAAGGAGCCAAGGCGAGCTCTCTCCCTGTTCAGATGTGGAGCAGCATGGTACTGTAACAAACCGGTTGAAGACATGTGACACACCCAGGAGCCAAGGCGAGCTCTCTCCTTGTTCAGATGTGGAGCACCACGATACTGCAACAAACCGGTTGAAGAAATGTGACACACCAAGGAGCCAAGGCGAGCTCTCTCCTTGTTCAGATGTGGAGCAGCATGGTACTGCAACAAACCGGTTGAAGACATGTGACACACCAAGGAGCCAAGGCGAGCTCTCTCCTTGTTCAGATGTGGAGCAGCACGGTACTGCAACAAACCGGTTGAAGACATGTGACACACCCAGGAGCCAAGGCGAGCTCTCTCCCTGTTCAGATGTGGAGCAGCATGGTACTGCAACAAACCGATTGAAGACATGTGATATACCAAGGAGCCAAGACGAACTCTCTCCCTGTTCAGATGTGGAGCAGCACGGTACTGCAACAAACCGGTTGAAGACATGCGACATACCAAGGTGCCAAGGCGAGCTCTCTCCCTGTTCAGATGTGGAACAGCACGGTACTGCAACAAACCGGTTGAAGAACGAACTGTTTCGACTGTCCGGGTCCTGTGGAGGATGAGATGCATGTGTTACTCTAGCGTCCACTCTACAAGCAGTTAACAATAGCTGTGTTTGCACTATGTTGTCAGTTTAATCTTGAATTTATTACAGCCCCTGACGAATCTTTTTCCAAATATTCATGTCTTGCCCAAATACTATGAAAGTTTGTGCCAAGACCTGTAAGTATGTAATAGATTATAGGAGTACGCGTGTGCTCAGACAGTATGGATGATTACATTGTGCATTATATTTTATACTAAATATTATATGTTTATAATTACGTCTCTCATAATCCCGTAAGGGATGGCTGAGTTATATATTGTTAGTAAATGTTGTTTTTTATCTGTACCTGGGGTAAGACGAAAATAGAATAATCTGTCTGTCTGTCTGTTTGTCTGTTTGTCTGTTTGTCTGTCTGACTGTCTGTCTACATAATGACGCAGTAGTTTGATGTCTTGTGTTCAAACGGTGCTAAAGAATGACATTATCTACTTGGATTTTTCCGTTGTCGCTTTAAGTGTCTGGAAGTGTATTTGTGATGATAATGGTGGACAATTGCGACTGTTTTTCAATATGGATATGGATATAGTCTGCCGAGAAGGAATTAATTACTGACAGATTACCCCTCGGACGTTTATGGCCCCGTAAGTGGATTAAGCATTCTAATTGATAAAGTACGATTATTCATTGACTGCAAAATATGAATTACACATCTAATAAATTGTCTCCAATACGTAGTTTCTATATTCGATGGCGTTTCTATGTCGCGTCCGTTCATATCATATTTGGGCGGTCAGGTAGCCTTGTGGTTAAAGCGTGCGCTCGTCACGCCGAAGACCCGGGTTCGATTCCCATCATCAGTACAATGTGTGAATCCAATTTCTGGTTTCACCCCCCGCCATCCTGCTGAAATAGTGCTAAAAGCGGCGTAATCCGCACTCACTCACTCACTCACTCAATGAAAAATGATGGACGAAAACATCTAATTTTCATGTCGGTTTTTATACTGTGTGTGCATTCAAATAGTGGACCATGGATCACACCAGCCTATAATGTAACACCATTATACAAAGATACCATGTTGCTGGGAATGTGTATCTAAACCACTGTGCTTGTTACTACCCGACATCCACTGATGGCCAACACGCTGAGAGTCACGCCTACACATATACAGTAACATTCTTACATAATCCGATCATGATTTTGCACTGGCCATCACAACATACAACATCGCCGTCAGATTACAGATTAAAGAAAATCATTGGCATTTATATACGCCCGTTTCCCAAACCTTTAAACTGTTATCGATTAAAAGTGTATAGTGTATACAAGTAGAATTTCTCTATTTCAGGCCATTGCTATTTCAGTTATGTCACAGCGTGACAGCTTGATGTGGAGGAAAAACATGATTCTGAGATCCTGGCACGTCTAAGGGACGCAATTGTGAACAGCGAACTGGGGCACCTCAGACGACTGGCTCTCTCACTCTTCCACTCTTTCACTCTCTCTCACCTAGCTTCGTAGGTTTGATGAAATTGGAACAAGAAGGTATTCCTTCCTGAAGATAATTCATTATAGCGCCTGAGTTAACTCCTGTCTACGTTTTCAATCTGCCAATTTTCCACTCTTGACCCTATGTGTGAGCATTTAACCATATGCTGACAGTCTTCAGCTCCATGGCTTCCTGTCTTCAGTTTTTTCAAGGTCCTGACTCAACAAAAATAACCGCGTTTGGAACTGTCCCATTCTGACAGAAGGAACTGCGAATATTTACACATTTCCATTTAAATTGTATTTGTCGTTTTAGATGCTTTAAAGTTTAGTTTCGAATTAAATTCAGTGGATTGTAAATTAACGACACACCCCTTTAAATGACAAAAATGTATCATCAGTGAATTAATGTTGATTGAACTATGGGGAGACTGACATCTCAACAAGAAAGAGTCACATCTAATAAAACATTCTTGAGGATAGCCACTATTACTTTTCCTTTAAGTATACTTGTCCTTCCATCAATAAGTATGGTATTTCTGTAACCATACACAACGTGTTCTTAACGTCAGTCCTGCATACAAGTCCAACCATCTCTCACGCTTGTCAAGTGTAACTTTGTTGGACAGAAAGAACATTGATCGATACGTATCTTTTTTGTATAGGTTTGAAAACATCTATTGCTTTTCTTATACGATACTATACGAACGATAGCACTCACTTCTGAAGAGAATTCAAAAGAGTATTTGTACTCTGCCGCGGGATTCCTACGCGAGTTTCATTATTTCATTTTCCAAAAACGTTTTTAATATGCCGCATGATGAAAAGTAATAATATGTGTTCAAATATTTAAAGAATATGCTTGCCTTGGAGAATTAACTGTTTGACCAACGACAACGCGGAGCGTGACTAAATTCATTTTTCGCAAATACGAAAACAACGGAGACGGTTCCAGATTGTAATAAGGATGATCCCCTTTCCCAAAATAACTTATTAATAATGCGGTCTAGACGTCTATATTATCAAAGAAAAAAGAACAAAACTCGATCGTATCGTGCGGGGACTGAGGGAATCGTTCACAACATCCAAGTTAATAATATAATGCCTTGGCAGTAATTACCAGCGTGATGACGGATGTTCTAGACATGGAGTTGGAGCATTACCACAGGTGATGTTTTACAAGCCAGGCTTTCATCCTACAGTTAGCCGACACGCATGGGAATATCATCGTCCACGAACAAACTGGACAAACTACACCGTGATACAACGTTTAGTGATGAACTGATCTACTACCCGGCTATGAACAGTATTATATCTCGGTGAGCCACCTTAATATGCGAGGAAAAAAGCCCACCATTATGCAAGTATTCGACGTGTGTCACTCTGGGAAACAGAAAGCATGGATATGATGCTGACAAAGTAGGAACCACGATCAGGTCGACTCTGGGATTCGAACACACGATCAAAGTATTCTGTAACGCCTCTGAAATTGACTAAGATGTTTATCAATGAAGGGTTACACCCGCATTTATCTCCTATAAAAAAACCAAAGGTAGTTCATCAAATAAAGAAGAGAAAGGGAAGGTTCGATGAATAACTTACTGCTATTCCTTATGGCAGAAATAAGAATCATTCTTGAAGTGATGTCTTTTGTTTCTTGGGTCTGATACTTGTTTAATAGAGACTTGGGTCTGATACTTGTTTAATAGAGACTTGGATCTGATACTTGTTTAATAGAGACTTGGGCCTGATACTTGTTTAATAGAGACTTGGGCCTGATACTTGTGTAATAGAGACTTGGGCCTGATACTTGTTTAATAGAGACTTGGGCCTGATACTTGTTTAATAGAGACTTGGGCCTGATACTTGTTTAATAGAGACTTGGGTCTGATACTTGTTTAATAGAGACTTGGATCTGATACTTGTTTAATAGAGACTAAGGCCTGATACTTGTTTAATAGAGACTTGGGTCTGATACTTGTTTAATAGAGACTTGGGTCTGATACTTGTTTAATAGAGACTTGGATCTGATACTTGTTTAATAGAGACTTGGGCCTGATACTTGTTTAATAGAGACTTGGGTCTGATACTTGTTTAATAGAGACTTGGGTCTGATACTTGTTTAATAGAGAAATTCGGATCTGATACTTGTTTAATAGAGACTTGGATCTGATACTTGTTTCATAGAGACTTGGATCGGATACTTGTTTAATAGAGACTTGGGTCTGATGCTTGTTTAATAGAGACTTGGGTCTGATACTTGTTTAATAGAGACTTGGGCCTGATACTTGTATAATAGAGACTTGGGTCTGATATTTGTTTAATAGAGACTTGGGTCTGATATTTGTTTGATAGAGACTTGGGTCTGATACTTCTTTAATAGGTCTGATACTTGTTTCATAGAGACATGGGTCTGATATTTGTTTAATAGAGACATGGGTCTGATACATGTTTAATAGAGACTTGGATCTGGCACTTGTTTAATAGAGACTTGGTCCTGATACTTGTTTAATAGAGACTTGGGTCTAATACTTGTTTCATAGAGACTTGGGTCTGATACTTGTTTCATAGAGACTTGGGTCTGATACTTGTTTAATAGAGACTTGGGTCTGATACTTGTTTTATAGAGACTTGGGTCTGATACTTGTTTTATAGAGACTTTGGTCTGACACTTGTTTAATAGAGACTTGGGTCTGATACTTGTTTAATAGAGACTTGGATCTGATACTTTTTAATAGAGACTTGGGTCTGATACTTTTTTTATAGAGACTTGGGTCTGATACTTGTTTAATAGAGACTTGGGTCTGATACTTGTTTTATAGACTTGGATCTGATACTTGTTTAAAAGAGACTTGGGTCTGATACTTGTTGAATAGAGACTTGGGTCTGATACTTGTTTTTGTAATAGAGACTTGGGTCTGATATTTGTTTAATAGAGACTTGGGTCTGATACTTGTTTAATAGACTTGGGCCTGATACTTTTTTAATAGAGACTTGGGCCTGATACTTGTTTAATAGAGACATGGGCCTGATACTTGTTTAATAGAGACTTGGGTCTGATACTTGTTTAATAGAGACTTTGATCGGATACTTGTTTAATAGAGACTTGGTTCTGATACTTGTTTAATAGAGACTTCGGCCTGATACTTGTTTAATTGAGACTTGGGTCTGATATTTGTTTAATAGAGACTTGGGTCTGATATTTGTTTAATAGAGACTTGGGTCTGATACTCTTTAAATAGAGACTTGGGTCTGATACTTGTTTCATAGAGACTTGGGTCTGATACTTGTTTAATAGAGACTTGGGTCTGATACTTGTTTAATAGAGACTTGGATCTGATACTTGTTTAATAGAGACTTGGGCCTGATACTTGTTTAATAGAGACTTGGATCTAATACTTGTTTCATAGAGACTTGGGTCTGATAATTGTTTAATAGAGACTTGGGCCTGATACTTGTTTAATAGAGACTTGGGTCTAATACTAGTTTAATAGAGACTTGGGTCTAATACTTGTTTAATAGAGACTTGGGTCTG